TAGCATCACAACATACTCAAAGTACTAAAAGTAACATTTATATTTACAACTGCATTGGCATAGATTTTTTTTGATTGGTGTGAGCTCTCATGCCTTGGATTCCTACTTCTAATGACCAAGGCCCTGGAAAGAAGGTAAAACCATGTCAGAGGCCATAGTGTTCAATGTGAACTCTGGTGTAAGGCTAAAGTCTGGATGTTTTTCAGATTCTGCAAAAAACAACGAAGGGATTCTTAATAAAACAACTGCAGTGTGTAAAACATGCAAAGCTTTGATCAAGTATACCTGGAGTACAGTGAAGCTCACGACAGGCTGCACGGTGGCTAATCGGAGGGAAAAAGGACCTGTTAGCTTGAGGCATGTAGCAGCGCTAGTGTTGGTAGCTACTTTCAGAGCACATTAGCTGAAAGCTCCATCCAGTTGTAGTCAATAAATTAATCTATAAGCTGTTTCATTTACAAGAACACACTTGTATAGTGGTGTTGAAAATGTGTGGCTCAGACTAATGATACTAGCTCTAGAATTGAGGTACACACAAGTCTGCAGCATTTCAGTGAAATAATGCATCCCAGAACTGTATGTTAACGTGAAGCAGCACGTAGAAGGTTTACTATGCACAAAGGCCCATGGTTTCCTATCGTTGAAAAGAGTCCACATCCAGTATTTGATTTAGTTACTTTAAACACAAAGCTGCTGTGAGCAAGCACTCGTTTTAATGTCTAGCCTAAACACTTTAGTTTGTCAGATAGAAGCAATATTAAAATATCAGCCGAATCAAATCGCTCTGAATTGCACTGTATTTAGCTGTTTTGAATTATGGACCATGTATCAAGTTACACAGTATGGATTGTGTCAAAGAGATACACACCCTTAGTTAATGAATCAGAAACAAACAGATTTATTTTAGATATAAAAAACTGTGTGACACCCCACTGTTGTCTAATTGTGATGTGAGAATGTTATGGGCACAATACAAAGCAAGGCCATTCAAAATATGTTCACATTTTTAAGTCCCATCTTACTCACCCTTTGTTTTTCTTCCTCTTCTCCTGTCCTATTGTTTCCTTCTTTCCTCCCTCTGTCCTTCATCTGCTTCTCTCTTACACCTCTTCCTTTCTATTACCGTTTTCTGCCTGGTCTCTTTTTCAACTTTCTTTCCCTCATTTTTTTCATTAATCTTACTTACCTTGCCTTTTTCCAAAGCTGCCCTTCTCCTCACACTAAAATAGAAATTATCGTCTGTGCTGCAACAGAAAGACAGTCACAGAATTTCTTGCTTCTCCTCTCACTCTCTCCTTTATTAGTCCCTCTCCCCTCTATTTCCTCCTCCTCTCATATTCCTCTGTGCTCTTCTCTCCTCCTTTATCTTTTAGGTGAAAATCAGCAGTAATCAATATGATCATCAGAATAATTGTCAGCACTTTCACCCACAATGCAAATTAAAAATGTGTGTGCATGCATATACGTGTGCGTAAAGACAGTATTTTAAGTGTGTTAGTGCACACCCACAAAATGTCTCTGCTCCTGGTTTATCTCATTGTTTGAACAGTGCTGCTTTAATTAGGACAGGCCTTTCCGTTTGTGTGTGCGCGTGTGTGTGTGCATGCATACATGCATGTGCCTAATAAGTAATTTTGTGTGTGTAGATGTTACCATAGTGCCCCCATGTGGAGGAGCATAGAAGAGCATATATTGTATAGTCTTGTTTCTCAACACACACTTCAATGACACGGTGTTATATTTGGAAACACAATTTCATGCTATCACTACTGGCTAGCTATTCCATTTAGATAGCAGCCATCTATATGTGTATGTGTGTGTACGTGTGCTTATCCTTATGTGTGTGGTTGTCTGTGTGTGCATGTATGTATGCAGATGTCTGAGGGTCTGAGTACACAGGCTGTCAGTGTGTTTCACAAGAGGAGTCTCCTTCCAAGTTTTTGTGAAATTAAAAGTTGGTTGTCATAGTAACATTAGATTCTCAGTAATTATGTTGATTAAAAATGTGAAAATTAAAAAAGTCAGGAAAATGATCTCACAGCAGATGATCAGTGAAACATCAGAATGATTCAGATCTTTCATTCCCTCCCGCTCACTCTCTCTCTAATACAGACGAGTCTTATTCTCTTCCTGTCCTTCTCTGTCGCACTTCAGAAGTCCTTTATTGCCAGGCAACACTGAATTATCTACATTCATCTCGCACATGCACTTTGTCTCAGTCGGTTTCCTTTCATACTTATATGCCCACGATTTATGACATGATGAAATTTGTCTTCACTTCCAGAAAACAGCGACAGCAGCAATAGCAAAAAATGTACACACACACACACAAACAGCCCCCCCACCCCCATGGCTATAACTTTCTGCTTTTCATTCAGTCAATCAATTCATTCCCAACTTGTTAACAAGCATGACAAGTCTTGTCTCATACCACCAGAGCAAACACATCAACAGCAAAAGTAACACAAAACAATAGCAACCTCACAGTCTCACTTTCTCCCTCTCGCTCTCTCTCTCTCTCTGCTTTCCAATCCATCTCTTGTTCTCGGGCTCCTTCTCTCTGACAGAATGAATGAACAGGCTCAGCAAAGTGTAATCTCTTTCTTCTATTAGCAGCAGCAAACACAGAAACAATGAATTTCCCTTTGTCCCCTCCCCCTCTCTTCTCCGTCTGCTCCTCTCCTCTCATCAGCTTTAATGAACCACAAATCTCATCAGCCATCTTTTCATCAGGTCTGCCATCACTACTTCCTGCACTTGGACACAAGTCTTTAAACCTGAGTACTTATACAGTAGTATTCCTGTGTCCGCTGATAGCAGATGACCAGGACTGTCCGTAACTAATACTTAGCTCAAGTAGAACTCGTATACAGTAGAGTTTTCAAAAACCTTTTTTTACTAGGTCAGGGTTGGTACTAAGGAGTGTTAATGTGACTGTCTTTGCTTTTACTAAGTAGTAATTCACTGTCAGCTGATTTTCGGTACTAAGGAGTGTTAGGGTGACTGTCTTTGCTTTTACCAAGTAGTAATTCACTGTCAGCTGATTTTAGCATGTTCACTATCTCACCGTGATGATGTTGACGAGGACAGCCATCAGTTAACAATGTCGAAGAGGTGGTAGTGTCATGATAATTTGGACGGCCCTACCTATTTCTCTATGTACCTGTAGTAACATGTTGTTTTCTTTAATGAAGATAAAAACTACATCACATGAACATTCATCCTATTGAATGTAGCATACTCCTGTGAGTTTTAGTGCAGCAACATCCTGCAGACACTGTTACAGCAGAGAGATTTTCTGCATGTAAATGAAATCCTTCATGTATAAAACAGGTCTCATGAATGTGAGCCTGAGCCAACTTGCTGCAGTGCCATCAACTGCTATAGACACATTGGGTACCCCCATAAAGCTACAATTTGGCCTGGCCCCATCGTCAAAGAGAGGCGGTGTTATACTGGCCTTACACCTAACAACTTTTCAAGTGAGTTCACTGTTGCAGACAAATTTCCAGGTTTGGAATAAAATTGCGAGAGTACAGTTGTGATGCACTCTTGATTTCTTGTCTTGAGGTTCCAGTAAAATCAACCATGATTAATATTATTATAAGTCTTTAGTCATGCAAACAATGATATAAACATTAACCAGTAAGTGAGCTCTCTCCAGCACCAAACAGAAAGCAGCATAGCAGGCACAGAAACAGTAAATATAATGGAGACTCTGGTGAGGGCTCACAAGGTACAGCTCTGTTGGACCATTACAAAGGATCAGAAACCAGTGGCGTTGTGGCGTGAGCAAGAGTGTCTCTTTGACGTGTCATCTGACTTGTGGAGACAGAGAGAAGGCGGACAGACCTTGCTGTCTCATTTCAGCCAACCAGGGTCATGTCCACATTCTGTGGTGTCTTCTCTTTATCTTTTTGGATGTTTTATCCAAGCAAAACACTGCACACCGAAGTGCAGCCATGTAGCCAAGCACTGCTTTTGTTTCTGCTTCACTTTTTCCAGTTCTTTCTTCTTATAACTTCCCACTAGATGTCTAGTTGTAGTCTTGCAAATATTAAACCTCCACAATCCCCAGTCTTTGCAAAGTCATAGTCTATGACTGAAGCTCGGCGTGACCATTGTTTTTAGATGTGAGAGGGTGTTAGACGTCAGTCTTTTCTGAGTCTTATTATAGTTTTCTAGTATAACTCCAGCATTAGTCACAGAAGCAAAACATCAAACAGACATTTTTAGCTGGATACTGATGAAACCGTTCCAAAGCGGCATATTTGAACATGGTTTGAGATAGTGAGTCTAGATAGTCCTGAGGCAGTTAGGCATTTAACATGTCTATGATAGTGACCAAAAATATGTATAATGCACAGTGTCTCATTAAGGAATATGTATTCATATCAGCTGTAGTGCCTTTATTTTAGCCAAATATTCATTAACCCTTTAAAACCATTTGTATCATATTTGATACGTGAGGTTTCTGAGCAAAAAAAATTGCCAAAAATGCCCCATGAATCAAATGTGATACAAAAGAAATAGAAATAATCTAAATAATATGGCACCTCTATTCCTATATGCCTGGACTGTCTGTCTATGTATATATGGCAAATAAAAATCGTCATTCTTGAATTTTGAATCATGAATTATATTTTGGATTTTGTTAAAAGGTTTAATAAATATCTCAGTTAAAAAAAAATAGAATGTTCTGGCTATTTTATATGTTGGGCTTTACAGGGTTAAGAGGCTCTCTAGAACCTTTGTACACAGGGATGTCTGTGAAAACTATGCATTTGCTTGTCACACTTCACTTGCATTCCAGTCTGAATTGAAAACAAAATTCCTTCTTTTTCCAGCAATAACTTTATTCAAATTTCTGCTTGATTTCAAGTTTCAATTCATTTTAAATGAATCTAATTTAGTCATGTTCCAATAGTTTTTTTTATTATTATTATTCATTTCTAGGTTTTTTCTTTAATACAGTATTCTCACATTAATACATATTTTCCTCTTAGCAGTACAGTTACTGTTTTGGCTTTCAAGGTTTTCCTGGCACTCTAATTCAACGCCAAGTGTGTTAGCGCCATTTAATGTAATAATTTTAATATAATTATTCAATTTGATATTTAAAATCTTCTCCTAGCAGTGGGGCTCTTCACACCTCTTCCTGGTGCAGCCTTAGGAGTGGCCGGGCTGGGAGCAGGACTAGGAGAAGGCTGGGTGATGGGCTGGGGGATCTCGATGGGGAGTTTAGGAGGGATGATTGTTTTAGGAATCACAGTGGGTTTTACATCAGGCATTTTCTCTCCATGGCGGTAAACACTCACCTGAAGAGAGAGAGAGAGAGAGAGAGAGAAGTGGACAGAATGCTATTACATAAACCTTTCCAATACATGCCTTTACCCTTCTGTGTATATATACAGTGGCTTCAGAAAGTATTCAGACACCTTCACATTTTGCACAAGTCTTACACAGAGAATATTTTCAGGACCTTGCTGTATTCTCCATGCTACAGCTGTCAAATCAGGGTTAGACAAAAGTCACAAGGTCCAATATCAACTCCATAAAAGCTCTGACTTGCATGTAAGTGTGATCACAAAAAATATCTCAGTTAGGCCTCAGTGAAAAGATGAGATTTGTGCCACAGATGGTCTGAAAAATTACGCGGCTCAGAGTAAATCTTGTCATTTGTGGTACACAGCAATGACACCCACCACTACATCCACAGACTCTCCTCCATATTTGTTCTGGATGATCATGCTATATCTGCCAGAATCCTCCATGGAAACACCTTTGATCGTCAGACTGGCAAACTTGCCCTGGTCCATGGAGATCACGTACTGAAACATAAAATCAAAAGTTTAAAAAGTGAGCGAGGCAGCACAGGGACTTTTGCATGATTTAAAAGTTTTATCTAAAAGTATATTTATCATTTACTCAAGGCAGCTTTGATTACCATCCCCCTTTAGAAAAAGCTGAGCACTGGCCATGGTGAACACAAGGACTAATGATTTATGCCAGCCTATTCTAATCTGCTGAGCCCTGTTAGGTCAGTCAAAGTATTCACTCATATATCAGCTATATGCTCTAATCCTTTTAGTGGGTTTCAGGGGCTGGAGCTGATCCCAGCCGACACTGGGTGAGATGCAGAGTTCACCCTGGACCGGTTGCCAGTCCATCACAGGGCTGATACATAGAAAGACAACCATTCACACCTACAGGCAATTTAGAGGCACCATTTAACCTAAACTGCATGTCTTATGGGCTGTGAAAGAAAACCTAAATGCTCAACTACTTCAAACACACAGAACCTTCTCACTGTGAGGCGTCAGTGCTAATCACTGTTCCACCGTGCCACACTCAGTCAAAATATTATGTAAATAAATGACAATAAAACATGTTCTTTAGAGCTGAAGTGCAATTGTGTCGACATTCTCCGGACACCTGAGAGAAGACAGAGTACTCAGACTCGTACCATGTGAGTCTGGCTGGCTCGAATACAATGTTTTAATTTGCCTCTCTCATATCTACCCATTCATTTGATAGGTCTGGATATTAGTACACTTTTATGGAGTGGCACTTAGCAGGCTAATTACATTCCCATTAAGAGAAATACTTGCCTTTAATTTTGAGAAATTAAAAACTCTACTGGCCTAAAAATCAAATAGACCTAAAAAGATGTCACATTTGCAACTGATGGCCTTTTTCTAATTAACATGTTATATGGTCTTGGATAATTGCTTCCATTTATTATACCAGTATAGGCTAATCTGTGGGTTGGTAATTTCTCTTTTGTTTGACTGATGAAACGTAGCTGCTGCATTAAAAACATCAGGTAATTATAGTTTGGAGGTAGCAAAGGTGCTTGGTGCAGAAAGCTCGTACAGAGTGATAAAATGCACTGCTTACCTTCCAGTATTCACCACCTGCTTCCAACCCGTCTCTATTTAAGCCTGTGTAACCGTACAGTCACACCTATTTCAGTGCAGTATTCTTTGAATCTGTGTATATCTCCGATTGTTTTCTGTTAATCTCTTCAATAGCCTCTGTGGTAACTAGGTAGTGGGGGGAGGTTTTAGTCAGATTATTGGCAGGCGAGGGAATAAATTCAGAAGAGGGCAAAATTAGACAAATTCATCCTGGACTAGAGTTTCTCAAATCTTCAAAGCCTGTAGGTGCCGCAGGATGCTGACACTGTTGAAACACACACTACTCAGTATTTCTTCCAATATTTTCTGAATTTCATAATTAAATATTAGATTTCTGTTATTTCCTCTGCCAGGGGTGGGGGTTGTGCCTTTGCCAGTATTTGTTTGTTTAATTGTTAACAGCATAACTCAAAAAGTAATAAATGGATTTGGATGAAACATTTTGGAGGGGTAGGGTATGACCCACAGAGCAGTTGATTACAGCAGAATCCAGTAGACGTAATAGGTGTGGAAATTCCATAGTATCTGTTGACAAGTTAATAGAAATATACTATTGCAACTGTGTTGCATTATTAAGGTAATTAATCATGAGAAGGAATCAGGGGCTGCGCTTCAGCTTGATGAGTCAACGGTAGCGTGTGACAGGTAGGACCCAAGGAAAACAGCCAGGCCTGGTTTGAAATGCTGACACTATTTTAATTTCCCTCTCTCAATTACAGTGCATGCTTCAGTGGCTGTTAAAACGTGTTATGAAACAGATTCTGATACCTGTCACACCCACCGTAACAAAAGTATATACCTTCTCATCAGGGTCGACCTCTGCTCCACCCCTCAGCCAAGAGACTTGAGGTTTGGGATCCCCACAGACAGTACATGTTAAACTCAGAGTCTGTAGAAATCGAAACAGTGACTTATTAGACAAACATACATGTTTACAGAAACAAAGGCCACACAGTCACACAAAAACCCAGATGTTACCTTCTTTTCCATGATGGTGACCACATCAGGCAGCCCTCCCACAACCTTACCACGATCTGAAACAAAGCATTGTTAATGTCATCATTCCTTTAGTTTTTACTGTGTATTGTTGATGGAGGTGGGCCCTAATTATAATAATTAGTAGGTAACAGCTTTATGCTTTTAAAAATGGGATAACATGTCAGTAATGACTAAACCTTCTTTGATCAGCTATCTGTTGGAAGAAAGTAACTCAGGTAATCAGATCTACAATGAACTCACGTTTTTCAGCATAGTCTTCAGCCCTGAAACAGAACAAGAAAAGTTTAAGATGTTCTCAGATTTTTTCTTAAACCCCCCATGTGCTGTAAATGTCATGACCACTGTCACCCAAAATGTAGCCATTCTCTCCCTATGATAAGATCTAGTACTTCTATTTGAGTATCAGTTCTGTGACCATAACTTCAAACTCGGTATTGTAGTAGTGGGATGGTATAGTATTTTTTCATCTTGAGGTTGGGGTTGTTTCTACGACCTGGCTCTGCTCACTGACTACATAATAGCTCTTCCATTTTTGGGTCACAAACCGTGGTCAGATGGTTTTGCCACAAGGCATTCTGAGTTTAGAGCCAAACTGCATTGTACTATAGTCGACTCTGGGACCTCTCAGAATCTTTTCATGGGGGAAATGATACTGCATTAAAATAACTGGGCGAGGGCTGTCGGGGCAGCATGGGAGCACCAGAGGTCAGCCACAGGACCAGATGGCTGGGGGGAACTCCGCTCTCCTCTTGCCATCTTGAAACTCAATCAAAAGGGCAACAGTCTGTCACTTGTTTCACTGTGTTTGTAAAATCATGTGCTTAAATGTCTCTCTTTGAGTGTTAATTAGAAGAGGGACCGGGGTGGTTTCCACTCTGCATGCAGTGTTAATGTCTGGAGTTTCAATTGAGTTTTCTAAATGGATTTGCTTAATTCAGAATGTGGGGTTTTGCATTGGCTCAATTAGCCAAAGGACCCCAAAGGCTCTTTGCTACCTGACTGCTTCTTTTTTTTAACATAGACTTTAATGGACTTTTTTAGACTGCAAGGCTTTTTGAATTTTTGATATGTTGAGTTTGCAGTTGGGGAGTAATTGTTACTCAGGCAGTACTGACATTCATACACTGTAATTCAACCTTCTTTGCTCACAGTTGACAGTGTTTGCAAAGGCATCAAATGTAAACTATGTAGCGTCTACAGTGACCTCGTCACTCCCACAGGCATACACAAAGCTCACCGCAGTGGAGGGTAAGCTTGAATAGATTGGAGGCAGGCATGTTGAGCTTCTACATTGCTCAACAGAAGCAGTAACAGTACAGTAAAACAGCAGCATTGTGGGCAGATTAAAAGTCTATTGATCCTTTAAGCTGACTGAATTATTGTGTACATGTTGCAGTCAGTAAAGTAGCTCAACCTACAGTAAGTTGTCAGGCTTTTCTCCATGTGCTCTCTCGAATGGGATCTAGTAAGCAAAACATTTTAATGTGTGCAAAGTTATTTTCAATCTTCAAATCAAAACTAGTGAGTATTGATATCAAATGAACCCTAATTATGGTGACTTTTGTTCTTAACTTTTTTAAAACAAGGATAAGGAGCAAAATAGTTTTCAGTAAATGAACTTTGTGCTACTAGATGACTTACACTTGTAAAGTGAACATATAAAGTCAAGTTTTAAAAAACTGATCTGTGGTGAGCGTAGTCTTACTTGAGTTTCTGGAATTCAGCATAGGCCTTCTCATAGACTGTAAAAGACAAAAGAATTTCAAGACTACAATTGATTGTCTCTGTCCTTTATTTTAGAGCAATACCAGCATTTCACCTTAAGTATAAAGACAGTGAATCCTAGCTTAAAAGGTGGTTTTAAAGTGGTTACTGTTGCTTGCATACTCATGAACAACTGCAGCAGGTCTCAGCTCCAATAAATGTTGGATAAAATAAGACGTTTTAGTGAAAATATAAATACACTACTTCTGACAAATATTTGGCAAACATTTAAGTGTTTGCAACATACTCAGCATATGGAGAGAAGGCTCGGAGACTTTGAGCTGGACATTTTGATTCTTTTTCTGCATGAGAATTTGACCCCATAGGAATCCATAATAACAAAGACAAATTCAAGTTGGCCACAGCTGCAGTTCTTTATGAAAGAGCAAACTCTACAGCCTTTTTCAAAGCTGTGGGGATGATTTCTGATGCTCAAAAGATAAATTTTGGTTGGAGTGTCACTTCAAACCCTCAAACCTTAGATTGAAGCAAAGAACGCTATAAAAAAGAAAAGTGACTGTTGCTTCAAACTCCCTTTTTACTGTACTGTCAATAAGAAAAGTGAGTAACACAGAAAAAGAACAAATGAGCAAAAGAGAAGTTACTGACCATCACCAGTGAGGGTCACTGAGCGTTTATGTTCATTTTCTGGGTCAGTGATCACGATGGTGTAGATTCCTTTATCCTTCTCCACTGGTTCAATCACCTGTGAATTAATTAACAAGTCATTCACACAGCCAACAAACCCATTAGCTAATAAGTATACGGCTGTTTGTTTCTTCTTGTGTCTTAATATCATTTTGTTTTAAACAGTTTACTCTGTAATTACAGTCATAAAGCTTTCTGACAAAAATAAAGGGAAAATGCACTGTTAAATTAAGTTTAATGAATTTCAAAAAATTGTATTCATTAGCTAATTTTTAAGAATGTGAGCTCATGTAATAAACCTATCTCATCCCTGGTATCACATCTATAAAAGCACTCAGGACTTCTTAAGCAACAGCGCCAATGCTTGAAGTGCTTTATTGTATGGTCCATGTATGGTCCACCTAAGAGGCATATACTGTTGAGCGTTGCACAGCAGACAATAATACCTCCATTGTTGCCATAGCAGGGGTTCCTCCAATCACAAACTTGTCACTAGGGAGGAGTTTAGCATCACTAAGGTGAAGAGAGAAGAGGACAGCTCGGTGTGAATGTGTAGAGTGTTTGTGAGTGAATGTTCAGCGGTAATGGAAAATCGTGTTTACATGCCGGCCTAATGTTACTCCTAGGGCGCCAAATTCCCTCTCTTCCTGTGTATTACTCTCTCACACACTCACAAAAGCCACAGAGTTTAAAAATCTAATCTCCATAATTTTTGTTCTTTGAATAACTGAATAACAGAAAAGCCTGCCATCCTTCTTTCATTCTGTTTCTCCTCATTGTCTTTTTTTTTTGTGTGTGTCCACTCACTCTGTTTCCTTTTCCTCTACGTTTTATATTCTCTCGGGTACAACAGAGTGCTTTTAAGTGCAGAAAAGCCTTGGTTCTTTATAGACAATGATAGGGATGTGATTTTCATCACAAAACAAGGCAATTTTGCTACAGTAACCAGGATAATGATAGCACTTGCCAACAGCCATCACAAGTTTTATTAAGTGGCTTATTGTTTTTACCACCCCCAGTGGTTCAACTTGAGAGAAAATCAAAATGTGTTTGTGGTCAGCTTGTATAGGCAGACTTTAAAAAATGACTTTTATTTCTCCTAAAACCATCTCTACAAATGCTAGAGTTGCTGCTATTATTTATTCTTCTCCTTCATCATCATCTTCTACTTACTAGCAGCAGTAGTTATGTTTATAGTAGTAGCAGTGGTATAGTAGTGTTATGGCCTTTGTTTTATTTGTATTATAAATCTCTTACCCATGATACCAGGTGATGTTCATCTCTGAGGTGTAATACTTCATGTGACACTGCAGCTGAATGCCTGTTGCTGTGCCGTTAATCACCAGCTCTGATGCGCTAGCCCCTAGAGAGGAGGTGATCGAGATGAAACCAAAATCAAATGCATATTTTCCATCTCCCCCTGGATTATCTTGGCCTCACTCTGCTGTTGTCAGCTACAGGATGTACTTTTCATGGAATTAATTAAATAAAATCACACTTCCATCAGCAGCAATTTGTAGTATCTATTTTAAGCCTTACCTTTTTATGTAACCTTTATCAGACTTGAAGAGCAAAGTTGTACTAATGAAGCAGTGCAGACTGTTTGTATGTTGCATTCAGTAAAACACCACAGCCATTAGAGGTTTTATTAACCTTTTTTAAGCTGTTGTGCCTAAAAGGGAGTTTTATACCACACTATGTCTGTGTGGGACTTTGCTCTCTGCATGTTACAAGTGTACAAGTGTGTATCCACCTGGTCACATCACCATGGTTTCCCATTATCACAGTAATGAACCCTCTTCTCCTCTGCAACCACTGCTGTAACAGTTGCTGCAGAGCTGTCAAGTGACTGTCTCTTAAAATAGGAGGAAGATGCTCCTCCACACTGTCACTGTGACAGCACCGTGGAATTTTAAAGTGGTTTCACCACATGATGGCCAAATGCTTCCAGCATGACAACTTCTGCCACATGTTGATAAGTGTCTACGTGTAGCGACGGGGTTTTAAAACAGAAGTGTATTTAGTCTGGTGATGGCTCTACTAAACCTCACTGTGGAGATTGTGCCGTGTTAAATTTAGATAATATGCCCTTGATCCTGTCAGTGAGTAGGAGATGGTGTTTGGTACTGTTATTAATATGGTTATCTGTCTGTGTATTCACCTGTGTGTGTGTGTGTGTGTGTGTGTGTGTGTGTGTGTATGTGTCTGTGTCTGTGTCTGTGTAAAAAGACAAATACCTACCAGCCAGTTTGCTCAGCTTGTTTATGGCATCGTCAAAGACTAGAAGGGAGACAGAGAAACATGGGGTCAGGGGAAAGAAAAATATAAAAACAAGGATGGAGGTCACAATGCTGTCCTCTGGTGGCTGCATTCAAACCTCAATAAAGAAAGGTTTAAATTAAATAAATAAATAAATAAGTGTTTCTTTACTAGCATGGGTACAGAGTTGCACTACATTAAGAATTCATTAGTTGCTGTGCTGCTGTCTTGGCCAGAGCACCCTTGTAAAAGAGGTTGTTACTCTCCTCAATCAGTAAGATAAATTAAGTAAGAAAAGTGTTTACTTTTTCCAGAGATGTCAATTTGGCTCATATCTTTTCCTCTGGCATCACTGATAGTGGCCCTATAAATTGTCTTCTGTGAAAACTGGAGAAACAAAACAGGAAACACATTAAAATGGTGTAAGGGGCGTAGGGAATAGAGATATGTGTAATTCTGAATCTGAACAGAGTGTGAGGTATTTTTGAACACAGTGTCCTTAGTTTTTTTTTTTTTTTTTTATCCTCAGAAGCACTAAAATGTGTAACACGGTAGCTTTTTTGTAACAGAATGTTCCATTCATTTCTTGACTTAGGATAGTTACTATACTGTACTACATCCTGGTATGTACAACATACATACTGTACAAATAATTGTGTTGTACATGGCTTTATAGCATTCAAAGGATTAATGGTATCAAAATGCAGTTACCTGTTTAATTGGGAGTTTACAGACTCCTGATCCAAGGTCAGGCTTCACATCAGGGATGATTTCTGTTTCTTCTCTGTACCAGTGGAACTGGGAATCTTTCTTCAAGTTAGCAACCTGCAATAAAAAAAATTACACACATGAATAAAGCATTCAGCATAAAGCTCATTTACAAAGTTCTAGCTTCTTTTATAGCTTTTATCACTAAATCCCAGTGGCATCACTTTCATTTCATTTTTGTTTTATTTTAATTCATCTGCCCCTAAACGTCACTTATCAAGTTTGGATGTGGTGAACCTCATCTTTTCATGGCAGCAGTACAGTACCCATTTAACAGGAACTGTAGAGATCCAATAAAGATGTTCTCTGGGTAAAATCATCAATATAAATACACTTTAGTTCCACCGTTTAGAAACCTGTTAGCAGTGACATTAATGCTGCACACCTCAGGTTTCATAACTCTTTACAGGATGCAAATCTACAAAGTCCATGATGTATGTAAAGGTCAGCTCATGTGGTAGGTCATAAGGGTTACCACTCTGTCTGTACTGTTGCTCTCACTTCATCGCTAGAAAAAACACTTCTCAAGAGAACAGGACCTGCATTTTTACAGAATATATTGTACCTTAACTAATCACTGACGCTAACTAAAAATGGAACCTATTTCTGCAAAAGGGTTGATGCTTGAAAAGAAGTCTGTGTCTCTGTCGCAACACTCACCCACTTAATGTACTGCATGTATTTGTTTTGTTTCTGCATTATTCAAAATACACTTATTTGGGCTAAACTGACAAGCAGATTAAACACAAGTCGGTTTCAAATTGTTTAGACGGATATGAGCAATATTTTAAAATTATCTTAATTATACACTTCAGGCTAACAAAGCCCACACAAAACCCTGACAGTATAATTCTGGTTATTTTCAATCTGGACCTTATCATTACACAGCATGTCGCATCCTGCACTCAGACTCCATAGAAAGGCTAATCAGCTCTCCACAAGTCAGCCTCCCATTTGTTGAGAGTAAATATTCAGTGATTATGGAGTTTGGTTGTGTTTACCTTGCAGACCAAGGTGACGGAGCAGTCGTCTCCAACCTGAAGTGACAGGAACTCGCTGAAGTGGGGACCTTGGCAGGGAAGAAACAGACAGGAGCTTAAAACAAATGACCGGGAGACCTTGTTTAATTGCTTCAGCCCAAAGCCAAGTATGGTTTTAAAGTTTGTAATGCAAAATACTGCTGTGTAATTTTCACATGCCCCTACAGTTGATATTCTATGCCCAAGGTTTTCAACCATTGGTCTGTGGCCCCCTTGTGGTCCTAGAAGCATTGCAGGTGGTCCCTGAACATGCATTCGATAGTGTAGTTTCACTTTTATTGTAAACACATTTCCATGTATTATTTACTGTTTGTGAAAAATCAGCAGTGGTCTGTAGGTTGCTTCTCAGGCACAAGGTGGTCCTTAGGTCACAATCAGTTAAAAACCCGTTCTGTACATTTCTGAATCTGGGGCTTGTCATGTAGTAAGCCATTTGAAAAGCTCATACAATCGGAAAAGTGAATGATATTTTGTGCTTTTGTACCTTCTTTGACTCGGATGTACTCTCTCCTCTGGTATTCTGCCTCAGCCAGAGCTACCTTGAAAACTGCATGTAAATAGACACAATAAAGAGAATAATTAAAACCTCAAAGTGTGGCCGGTAGTTGCTATAGATTTTTGAAATGGATTAGTGAAATCATCATTTAGGAAATCCAGTGTGTTATCGATTAGATATTGTGTCCTTTAAACCCATCTTTACATTTATAAACTTAATACTTTTCCATGATGTTAGTTTCTGATGCCAAGGATGGATATAAGCACATATATTATTTATATCATATCTCAATAAGCTGTATTTATTCTGGGTGAGACACAAAACACCCCACCAGCAATGTAAGTCTTATGTATGTTTTATATAGTTTGTTTTCCTTGTCTCGGTTGCTTTTGTAGTTCACCGTTCTTTCTATAGGTAGGAGGTTGCAGTCTGTTCTAGCAGGGTTGCACAAGGTTTGCCTAGTTTAGAAAAACACTACAGATGCTGAGTGAGAGAAATCAGAAACCTGGCCTTTCTTACCGTTTCCAATCAGAACCAGTGAGCTCTGTGCTTTGCCCCCTCCATCTGTGATCTGGCAGGTATACGTGCCCTCATTCTCCCCAGTGAAATGGTCCATGATGAACTCAATGATACCTGTAGAGACGTCATGACCCATCTTGTTGGGCTGCATAGAAATAGAGTTGGTTGTTGTCAAAAGGCCATAATACACAAGGACAGACAGTGTGAATGTGGATTCTTTTGTGTTTTTTTTTTAACAGCAATTATGGCTTTAATGTTGAATCACTGTCAAGCGGACACACAATTTTTTCAACTTTTCCATTGCGCTACATTGCTATGTCCATTTGTAAAACTACAGTGTATCTTACAGCAGCTCCAGACAGTTCCTTGTTATTTGCATAGAATTTGTAGGTGACTTTGGGTGAAATCTCTTCAGCCTGAAGCCAGAACCTCATTCTGCCTCTCTCCAAAATCTTATAGTCCAACTCTGACTTCAGGGGGATAACTAGAGGAGGGAAGAGAAGTGGGAAAAGGAAGGTTAAAAACATATAATAACTTGTTGCTACTTTAGGGAAGAGGAGACAAAAAAAAAAAACAGAAGGTGAATTGTGAATAAAGGTTAGGCAGGTGATGCAAAAGCAGGTAAGATTTTTGGATCAAATAAAAAGAGAAATGAGCTAGTATGAGAAGAAAGAAATCTGAAAGCTTCAAAGCAAGTCAGAACAAAACAAAATGAAGGCTTGGAAGGTAGAAACAGAAATAAAGTGAGGGTAAAAGAGATTAAAGACGCTGAAGAGAAAAGCGTAAGAGAACAGAGATTAAAAGGGACAAAGGCAGAGATTATGAAAGATCGAAAGAGTCAGCCAGAGGAACCTACTTGGATGTCTGATGTCGTAGCTGAGTGCCAGCATTTTTGCCAACTCTGAAATATAAAGAGACGGCATATTTTATTTCAGCTGTGGGCACAACCACGCAATTAAACGCACTTCAGAAAGTATTCAGACACCTGCAGTTTTTTCTTGCACACTTTGTTTTGTAGATGTAATTTTATCATGCACTTTGAAGGGATGCTTCAAATGCCAGGTCTGGCAGTGGATAAGTCACCAGTGTGCTTGTATTAATAAGAAGAGGCAGGTAAAGGCAAAAAACCTCCAGGGCTAAAGCAAATGTAGCCACAGGGAAGACAGTGGCACATTTTTAACAGACTAGAATTAGACCAAAAGATCTACTCTGGACCTGCTAGAACAAATTTAATATATTAAATTATTGTGATAAAAGTGAAATAAATGGAACCACGTATACTCACCAGCCACTTTATTAGGTACATGTGTACAACTGTATGCAATTCAGTGCAACACTTGGTATTGTACTGGACTGCATTATAGTCAGAGGTCTTACTAATATTCTGAGCCTCTCATAGCCTCTCATGTATGTAACTGGGAAGGACAAAAATATAGAGACAGCTCTACAATAGTACAGGTGTATCTACCTAATAAAGTGGCTGGTGAGTGTATATTATATTATATAAGAGTTCAGAAATTATTGCATGTTAGGCTGAAAAACTCTAGGCCAAATGGGAGTAATCAGCATAAGGCACACTGAATAATATATAGCCTTGTAGCACAGTGGTGCAATAGCAGGAAAAATATTGTTGCAGAAAGTCTCTTGCCATGAAGACATGGTTTTGAAATGCACATGCTGCCCCGAGCTTGGAGAAATAGCATGAGCAATGTGCTCTACTAGTATTCATCAGATATGTAAGGAAACAGTTTGTTGCCTGCTTAGCAGTGTTGTTATTTTTAAGCACAGTCTCTTTGCTTTTGTGATTATTTCATCCTACACACTGCCTCAGTTCTCTGATAGATGGTTTCATTATATAATAAGTCTGTACTTTTTGATGTATTTGTCTGATTGGATGTTGCAGTACAGCTGTTTAAATTTTCATGATTAGGGCATGAAAGGCATTAGCATGCACCACTTTAACAAATGGTGTAAACAAATATTTAATGTCATTTAAATTTTGATGAGATGATGAAGATAATTGTGACAATTCAAATTACAGCATGTCGACAGGAATAAATAATCAGTCTAGGTTGTACAGTAGACTTCAACGATTCAGGTTGCAGGTTTGGGAGCTGCAGAATGTTTCCTCGGTGATGGATTTCTGTAGATTTTAAAGTCAGAGTTTGGCTGAGTAATTAAGCACCAGAGGCACACTGAAGGCACCAGAGGCAAAGGGTAAATCCTACCTTCAGAAGATATTGTATAGCTGGATGAAACACCATCTGTGTTGGTGACAGAAACAGAGAACGTCCCAAAGTCTTCTTTATCTGGGTTCTTAAAGATCAGCTTAGAGCTACAACGCAGCACATGAGAGAGAAAGAGAGACTAAAACAGAGGGATCTTGCACATATGAAATTCCAAAAATCATATTTTATTGTATCCATCTGAATGGTGTTGGGGGGGGGGGGGCTTACTGGTTGCCTTCAGTCTTAATCTCTGATCCTTTAGAGAAATCTGTGATTTCTACATAATCTTTCTTCCAGATGAACTGAGAGCCCTCGTTCATTTGGCAGGACTCGAATGATAGAACAATGTCACCTGACTTCTTATCGACCGTACAGGACACCTCCTGGCAACCTTAAATACCCACACAGTGAGAAAGAGATCATTTTTAAACTGCAGCTGTTTCACTCTACACAAAGCATAGCAACATTGTGTGGTACATTATAATACAGAGAATCTTGGTGATAAATCTTTAAAAAAAAAAACTATACACTCCATTTAATACTCTGCCTTTGAAAACTTACCTTCCACTGCCTTGGCAGTTATGGGGTCAGAGACCATTGAGGCCATACCCACTCCTGCTTCATTGACTGCACGCACTCTGAACACATAGGTTTCACCCTCTTCCAGACTTGTTGCCTAGGAAACATACAATGAAACAACCTAGTGTTTGTAAGAGGAGAACAGCTGTATGAATTTTGTTGCACAGGTGTATTGGCAAGTATCTATGCATTTAACATTGTATCAGTGCATTTTCTCACAACATGGGAAATAGTTGCAGGTAAATAACACAATTTCTGAAGTAACTTATTTGGCGAGATGAAATGGTGACAGCAGTAGTAAATTCTCAGACCCAGCTTTGCAAATATTGCTCTTCTACTAACAGCAGGCCCAGTATTATTATTATTATTGTAAAGTGACATTTTAACTCATAATCTGTAAGTCTGCAAGTTTATTATGCCACTCAATAGTCTTTGCGTTATACAGTAATTAGTCAAATGCATATACTGTTCATTAGTTGCCATGAGATGATTCTCTCTAAAACCAAACATTATGTGCTGTACTTAACCCAGTAATCATTCACTTTCCACTAGATGGCAGTGTCTCACAGTCTAATGTACTGTGAGTCTATCAGTGCATTGTGCAGCAGGTCAAATGAAGCACTAGAGGCTGCTACAGAAGGTTGACATGTAATGTATGGAAGTTCGAAAAGCTAACATGAGTCAGTAGAAGGCTTTACAGAGAGTTAGCAACATAACATTGTATCAAGAGCATAATGTGCAATATTTGTCGTGACTTGTTTTAGCAGTGCTAACATTAAACACCAGACTCAAGGTTTGCTACAGTATAATAATTATTTTGTGCCATTGTTCCATTTCCAGTTCAGAATAAATGATTGGTAACCCTCAAATGATTGAAGTTTAAGAACCATAATCCATATTAAAGGTACTCTTACCTTGAGGAAGAGCTGATTAACAGCTGTCTCGTTGGCCATGGTCCAACGAGAAGTGCCCTTCTTTGCGTACTCTACGTGGTAGCCTGTGATCGGTCCAGAGCCAGTATAGACAGGCTTTTTCCACTCAACCACCACTGAATGATCTCTCAGCTCACATAGAGTCAGGTCATAGGCAGGACCTAAGGGACACAAAGAAATGAGAGGAGAAGAGACACTAACTTGCATTTATATTGGTGCTTGTTGTGTACATTTCACTGACTGTGTTCATTCCCTTCCTCCTATTTCTTAAGGGTATTTTATAGACATGAGTTTCTGTGTAATTTAATGTCACTGATGGTGACCAAGTCAGTCAAAAGATGCCATTTACTAACCAGGCTCTGGCATAGTCCAGGCCTCACAGGTGAAGTTGGCTGAATGATCGGAAGCTGGTCCGAGGCCAACCACGTTGGCTGCATACACCTGAAACTGATAGGCCGCTCCCTCTGTCAAGCCTTCTACCTGTCGATAAATGTTACCATAGTTACTAAAATGCCGACAAGTCAAAATAAGTGTGAAATAGTGTCTAGTTATAGTAAATGAGTGCTTGGTGAGAAAGTCTGCAAAGTACTTGTATTCAATTTATGCTGAAATTGTAACTCCATCTTGAGTTTTTAAATGTTTTAAGGTAAGCTTAACAACAGACATTACTGTACCTTATACAATCTTTCCTTCAGTGGTGGGATGTGAATCTCCCTCCACATTATTGTTCCGCTACGTCTTTTGTCCATATAATACCCCTTGATTGCTGTTCCTCCGTTGTGAAGAGGCTTCTTCCAGTTCAGAACCATTGAATGGCCGTCACAGTTCAGCAGAGCAATGTCGTACGGAGCAGAGGGGTTGGCTAAAAAGGCAGTACTGAATTTTACAACATAGAATTACATTAATATACTTAACAACCAGCAGAATTATCATCACAGTCCAGCATGGACATACAAGCATTATCCCCACCACCATCATCAATGATGTGATCAAAAATAAGGCAGTACTGACTGAGAGCAGCCTTGACAGTCAGAGGTGCAGACTCTTGGGATTCTTCGCTAAGACCCAGCTCATTGATAGCCTGGACACGGAACACATAGGTTTCTCCTTTGGTCAGACCACTAACAACGAACCTAAAGAATTAGAAATGCAGGCAGAAACCATAAGTATCGCTTTCATACGCTAGAACCAGCTGTTAAAGAAAAACACATTTCTGAGTAATAGTGTGTTTTTGTTTGTCTGAAAACATACCTGGTGCTCTTGTGAGGTTTATGATTGGCTGAGGTCCAGTCTTTGGACCCCTTGACACATTGGTCAATGTAGTAGCCAATCAGATTGTTGGGTTCTTTTGGTGGAGCCCACTGGATAAGGACAGAGGTGTCTGTTTCCCTTGTAGCAATTACCTGGCCAGGTGCTGAAGGCACACCTGAAGGGGAAAAAAAAGTAAGTAAATGACAAACAAAAAGAAAACAACATGGACTTAAAGCACCCTTGTAGAATGATCTATGTTAGAGTAAGACTAAATAGACAAACATACCTTTAAGTTGCAGAGTTTCAATAGGTCTGCTTGGCTCTGATGGCTCACTCATTCCATGGATATTGGCAGACAAAACTCTGAACTCGTATTGTTTGCCCTCTGCCAGGTCAAAGACGGCATAACGTGGGGATCGAATAGGGATCTGAGTGGTAACACGCTGCCATGCATCACTCCCTGCCAAGCACTGTGGGAATGACAGACAGGGATAAGCACGGCTGCAGCCACAGTATTATATAGCCACGCACACAGTGATTTGTTGTGCTGTTTGAAGATGGGTTTACTGCAGATCTTCAGTACTAAGTCTGTCCTCATGTTAGCTTGCTCATGCTAACACAAGGAAGTAGGCCTCATGCCTGCTGCATATATCAAACACTTTTACTAAGCCTGTCTTCCTATGCTAGTTTACTGCAGCTTAACAGACATAATCCTCATATACAGTATATTGACATTTATAAAGCACTTACTTTCCTTACTCCCTGCCCTTATCTGGCCTGCATCCTGCCTGTTCAAAATGACTTGCTTCTTGCCTTTTCTCCCTCGAGAACAAACAAAATCCCCTCTTGTTTCTTCCTCCAACAAGTTTACCTCTAAGCGCCTACTTTTAATAGCTGCTGCTAAACATTTCAGCACTTGATTATGTTTCCAGGTGTATTGTCCTTGAGCCAGGTTTGTTTTACATGTTATGCTATACCTGAATGCAAGGGAGATGTCAGGTCCTCACCTATCCATCCGTTCAGATTTTGAGGAGATGGAAGCACATAAGTTGCACCCAGGCAGTGCATAGGTAGCATATTGATGCCCTCTCTCTCACTTTCTGTTTCTTTTCCTGCTCTCACTGACTCTGTGTAATTATTTATGTAATTATGGTAATGTCATCTAGTTTTGTTTGAATGGCCTGTAGGTTTCCGAGTTGAGACTTGAGAGAGAGGAGTAGCTTGCATTTATCACAAACTTTCATTCTTGGTGAGGTGGACTGAGGGATTCAAAGCAACAATGGTGGTGCTAAAGAAGTGTTTGTTACCTTTTCAATGTAGTACCACATGGGAGCCTTGCTGGAATATGCAGGGGCTTTCCAGCTAAGAACAACATAAGTTCTGTCTATTTCTGTGGCATGTATTCCTGATGGAGCACCGGGGGGCTTTCCTTCAGCTACACAGAAACATACAGATTATTATATATGTTAAATTGTGTATTATATTGTATGACGTAATACATATAGTTTAGTGTTAACCCACCTTCCTCTTCATAATGGTAAGACACAACATCCAGTAGTCCTCCAAGCTTTTTGGCTAAAGGAAAATATAAGACATGATCATGAATCTGCTTCAGAGAGAAAGTACTGCAAGTAGATTTCAAATAGAAATAGAAACGAGTTTGTTCAATAAAGCAATTTGGTCAGTGAAGCAAAAATGATCAGACATGCAATAAATTCTGCAGAAGGCCACATAAACCTAACCTTTTAATCATTTTACTGTGCCCTAATTTACAGTAAGTAAAATGTAAATAATTGCCTTTATCATTTTGAACCTTTTTAATTCAGTGACACAGTAATGTTGCCATAGATGCCCTAAAATAACTACAGTCCCATCATATCAGTGGATTACGTTTACACATATTAAGTTTTCAAAGCAGGGATGATGTTATACTAATCCAGTAAAACGCACCATGGAGCCTCTCAAACTCAGTGGGGTCCACTGCAGCGATAGGATCAGACATGCGGGATGGTTTGCTGATTCCTTGAGAGTTGACTGCTCTCACTCTGAAGTAGTAGGAGTGGCCTTCAAACAGCCCAGAAACTGGGTATTTGCAGATCTTGATGGGATGATCATTGCACTGGATCCAATTTTCTGTTCCATATTCACATCTAAAATACAAAGATGCAATGGGAACATAAAAGGAGATAGGTGTAGGAGGAAAGTATGTAGAAAAAGAAGATATAACTTGGTTTTGACTCCTGTGATGCTGGTGATTACATCACCATGCAATGGCAGATATTTAATTATTGACTTGATGTTTTGAAGCAGTGGTGTTTTAACCTGCAGAGAAGAGTTTCTAAAGGTACTTCCACAAAAAGGAGAAAGTTGTCATTTGTCCATTACCCTACTTGACAAGAATTAAAAAGTAGGAATATGGTTTCATCAAATAAAGTGCACTGCAGTGAATAAAGGATATGGAGGCAAGCAAATGATACACAGTTTAGGTTCCCGTATACTGTGTATTACTGTGCTTAAAGTTGTATAGGTTAAAATATGAGGGACAAAATAAATCAGATTTAGCTTAGCTGTAAAATATGCAGAAAAATTAAGAGGACTAAGAACAGTACAGAGAAAAAGGAAGGATTGCTTGTGTCCAGAGACAATAACCCCTTCATTTGTACACATAGTCGAGCAAACTCTGTGTGATGACTTAGAGTAATTGGTTTGTCTTTATATTAGTCAGATTATCTATTTATGGTGTTTATAACCATAACTCCTACTTGTCCACAAAGTATCCCAGGATTGGACCCTCTGTGGTTGTATTTGGAGGCTTCCATGACACAATGGCATAGTCTCTGTTGGCATCGTGGATCTTGATGTCCATAGGGGCACCGGGTGCACGGGGGACTGGTGGAGGACCATCTACACAGGAAGAGTCAGGGTGACATAAATAACCATGTTATAAGCAAGTGATAATGTAAGAACAGTAACCGAGTTCTTTAACATTAGGTGGGTGCTTTTAGTTGCAGGTTTAATGCTGGATTTAAAGTCATCATCTTCTCTTAGACCAAGCAGTCACCCAGTGCACCTCACCTGTAACGGAGACAAATGCACTGTGTTGTGCAATGCCTCCTTTAGTGACCATGCGGAGGGTGTAGAGGCCTTCGTCTTCTTTGTAGAGGTTTGGAAGAGTCAGGGTACTGAATCCTCTGCCAGTTTCAATCTTCACCCACTTAGAGTCAAACAGACGAGTGTCTAGATTTAAACAAAATTTTAAATTTAGTGTCACTGCATAGTTCTCATAAACCTATGTTCTAAATTGCTAAAGCACTACTTTTTTTTATAAACTATACATGCGGCTTGACTGCATAGTCATTTTTAAAATGAAGAATTCATTCATTCATCTTCTACCGCTGAATGGGGTCACAGGGCCGGAGCCAATCCCGGCTGGCAATCGGGTGAAGGCAGGGGACACCCTGGACAGGTCGCCAATCCATCGCAGGGCTAACACATAGACGAACAACCACACACGCACTCCTATGGGCAATTTAGAGACACCAATCAACCTAAGCTGCATGTCTTTGGACTGCGGGAGGAAGCCGGAGTACCCGGAGAGAACCCACGCAAGCACGGGGAGAACATGCAAACTCCACACAAAAAGGTCCCGGGTGGGGCCCGAACCCGGAGCCTTCTTACTGTGAGGCAACGGTGCTAACCACTGCGCCACCGTGCTGCCCAAAATGAAGAATTAATTATTAAAATTTTATACCACTTGGCACCTTTATGTAATGTCTACCAACAAACAAATTAAACTTTTTATGAATTGGGAGTGTATTACTAGAGTTTACTTTCATTATAATTTATTAACAGGAAAAATAATGGCCATATTATTTTCCTATTTTTCCATTGCTTTGTCTCTGGCTGCATGTCGACTAGACTGGGTCTGGCAGTCGCCATAGTATATACAGCTAGTATATTACTAGCAATTATAGTGTAATTATTTGCCATAAAATGCTACTTTATAACAATTACCATCTCTGTACCACTGTGCCTCAGGCTGCAGGTGGATTAGGTTTGGGTGCACGGTCATGGTAGCAGACAGGGTGGCAGATTCTCCCTCAGTAGCAAACACTGGCCCAAACCTCTCCACAAAGGCAATGTTGATTTTAGTGTAATGGATCTGAGGTAGCATGACATCTGAGAGACAGGTGAAAGGAAGGATTGGAGAACAAGAATAAGATGGAAATGTGGCTGGTGGTTAGAGCTTGTTGTTTCCCTTTCAAAAGAGAGACATATTTTATAATGTAGTACTGGTAGTAATCTTGTAAATTCTGATCACATATAGACAGAGCTGGACAGAGTCAGAGATACTTACCTGTTAAAGGATACCATGCATACGGACAGAACTTGTCCTCCTCCCTGAACCCTACATGGATAATAAACAAACATACCTAGAGTTGACTATTGTGGCCAGCTGTAGTAATCAAGGGTATGGAAATGGTGAACAGCTAGGCAGACAACTAACTGAATGTGCAGTTATAGATTTAGTGTGTCGGCTAAATGTGACGTGCCCAGGAAATAAGTACTGTGACTGGATGTTAAAAATCACATCAAATAGAAAGACTTACTCTTGACGATAATGGCGGCCTGACTAGAGGCTTGTCCGTGGAGGTTAGCGGCCACAGCGGTGTACAGTGCTGTGTCATCAGTTGAGCATCTGTAAAAACACAATATCACACAAGCTGGTCAACATACCTTCAGGATCCTCATAGACTGACATTGTATTTGACCAAAATGTTGGTAATGGAAAATCCCTACATACCCAGATGTACTAAATGTTCTGACAGGACTAATTGTAATCTACTAAGTAATGCCATCTGTAGAAGGGTACTGGCTTGACCTACAGCTGGTGTGTCTAGTTTGATCCTACCTGACACATTCTTGATAGAGTAGGTAATGCTTGTATAAGACTTTGCATTAGATAGTTATTGTACTTCCTGGAGACAGAAATGTTGGCAGTTTTCCTGTCTTCTATTTGAATCAACAGCGGTCATAATTGGTCAACTCTGAAAGGCCCTTTTACAAAAGCATTCCTTTATAATCAAATACGCTGCTGCAGCATTCATGCCAAGAATTGCATTTTGGAAAACATCAGAGTATGTCTTTTGTGATCGGGAGCTTGCTTGTTTTAGTGTCATATTTGCAGAGGAATGTTTATGCTTCTGTTCCAACTACAGACATATGGACCATAGCTCCCATAGCTAGCTGACATGAAAAACCTCACACACACATAGTAAACGGTTACCACTGCTCAACACAACTCTGCTCAGCCCTTTTTATCACTAATGCAATAGGAGTTTCCTTGATGTACAGTATCTCCAAAACACCATTACTGTAAGGTATATAATTAAAGCACAAACATGTCTGATGTTGTGGTGGTGCTATCTATGGGTGATAAATCACTTGTACTGACAGTAGGACTGCCATTAACCCATTATGTCAAGTAAAAACAAAAGATGGCTGCTACAGACATCAAAGCCGTGTTTCTGTCTCACTGTAATTACATGCTAGTTAAAAAAAAAAAAAAAACTCAACCTCTGTGTTTAAATTCTTCATTTGCTCTTTATCTTTCTGTCTTTCCACCTTTCAGCCTGATGCTCTTCTCACCAATTTTTCCACTACCTCATATTACACCAGTATTAACTAACATGGGAATTTCAACCTGTGTGGAATGCATGTGGTGTAACCATAAGGAGATGACTCTGGCATTATTTTCAAAAGCGACTACAACAGGTTGTAGCAGGTAGCTCAGGGAGAGCAGCAAATTTAGCTTGTTTTTATTTTAAATAAAAATACTGTAGCATTTGGCATTTAGTAAAAACATGAAATGCACAGAAATGGTTTCACTGGTGCAAGTACATGGGGGTGGGGTGGGGGGATAGGGTGTACAGGAATGTTTTGGTATCAGGATCCAGAGCCAGCAGGCTGGGGGACAGGGATTCTGCAGTTTCTCTCTGTCATCAGTCTGTCTTAAAATGACTACATGCTGCTGATAATTTGAAATTCAAAAGAAAGTTACCCTTTAAGGTCCTCCAGCCTATTTATAAAAGCAGCCCAAGCCTTTATTAATGATAATAATCATTTGACCACTCTGTGTGTTTCCACTTAAAAACACACAGTATTCACCTCTCTAGCTAAAAGTCTTGAGTTTTAGATTTTTTTTTTTTTTTTTTTTTGGCTAACATACTAATCTCAGCCCTATTTTCTGACTTTTTATTTGGCTCAATGAGATGAGGAGCATTAATGCAATATATTCAAGGAGTAATACAATTAGTTTAACTGTCTATGAAATAGACCAAAGGAGCCAGAGGTGACTGGATCCAAGGAAAGAGT